TATATATATATACATATACACGTATGTATATTCTCTATACATATACATACCCAGAGGTGTAAATATAGATATTATATATATATATATAGATAAAGATATGCATTCACAAGTGTTTGTTGTGTGTTTCGCAGCATGGGCTTGGATTGTGTGCCAGCGAACACTCCTCAAATGTGTTAAATGCTGTACCGTACGCACGCACACATACTCTCTCGTGTGCAATACGTCTGTATGTGCAAGTATTTGTGTACATATTACGGATTATGTCGTTTATATTGAATACAACATAGGTTTCATAATACATACTATACAGTGCATATATAAATACACACCTAGATCTTCTGTATACTGCATCTTACAGACCATACTAGCAACATCTTTTACATAGGGCGCATTACTTATTCTGCGGCAAGTATTATGTCTTGCGAACATGAAATACTTTGTGATATGTTCTGTATATAGCATAGCACATATGAATGCATGGTTATGTAAAAACCATATACTGTACACTAAATCTCAGATACCATATTTTCCATACCACACCTGAATTTATTGCTTGTTCCCTTCTTATAAACTATTGTATAACACGTGTATATGAATACATATCAAAAAGGATATGTTAAGCACGGTATGAGTTAGACCTAGATGTTGAAGCGTCCACAGTGTACAGTAGAGGATCTGCTTGCACCGTGCGTATTGACTGTTAAACATGTTCATAATACAGCCTATGTGTTGGCATGCTCCAAAAACTACTTTTTTCTTGTTGTACATGGTAACAAACTGCGCATTACAACAAGCCACATCATTTACTACCCAAAATGCTTGGTATTTCAAGCCAGTTATAGTATAACTAGTATAATGCATGCCTACCCTCTGGTATTATAACACATGCTTGAATCCTCTACATAACTTAACGAATGTAGATCTGTTTATATGTGTGTATATATATATATATTTGCAATATATGGTCCCCCTAAGATCCACCCCCGGCCAGTTCCAAACGACTCTTATGCTCAAAGCACAGTAGATACCGGCATAATCGTACCTTTCTTCACGTGCGCACAACCCGTGCTGCTATATGTCGCGGGTTTGACATGTGTATACATCCGGTGTCGAATTTCGGCCTCACATTCAGAATAATGCATGTGTTGGAGAAGCTGAAAGTCCTGCAGCGTTACCGAATTTGTTAAAATGGTACTGGAAAACATCTTGCTTTCTTGCATTTTGGTTTTTAATCGCGCTTTGCTGTGCGCTATTCCACAACATTTCCATTGCCACAGAAACGCTACACACCATCTCTGCGCGTGAAACATCCGATTGCGTTTTCGTTTCATGGTGCCTAACGGCTCTACCGATTGGCTTCATAATGAGAAGACACGGAGAGCTCCCAAGGCTGAGTACGCCAAAGGCGTGGCCTCAAGGCCTAAATAACCTTTATCCCCGCCCAGGCCTCTCCTACAGCCCTGGGCGCTTCTCGCTGAAAGGTTACGGGCCACAAGGGTAACAATAGGCCAGCTAATAGCTTTAGATGTTAGACTTGTGTATTCGTATTAGAACCAGCATGGCTGTTCGTATTAGTTTGTGTGTCTTCGTGCACGGCTTAAACATGCCCATGTGGCCCATGTGCATATACGTTACACATCCATATCTTCATGCATGTATGTAAGTAGCTAGCTAAATAGCTAGGTAGGTAGGTAGGTAGGTAGGTAGGTAGGCAGGCAGGCAGGTAGGTAGGTAGGTAGGGCAGGTAGGTAGGTAGGTAGGTAGGTAGGTAGGTAGGTAGGTAGGTAGGTAGGTAGGTGCCGCTGAGCAAGCGCAGCTTGCTCATGCTGCCGCAACATAGCATATGGAGCTCCCAAGGGGCCCAACTAGCATTCCTTTCGCTAGGCACTTAGACCAACCTTGGACGCGCGATGGCAGCCCGGAATGCGCAATTTAATGTTGCGACATATATGCATACAGACATACCGACCTGTCTGCGCGCGCACACACACCCCTACACCTTGCGTATGTCCCTCCCTCCCTCACTCCCTTCCCTCCCTCCCTCCCTCCCTGCCTCCCTACTTACCTCCCTACTTACCTACCTACCTACCTACCTACCTACCTACCTACCTACCTCCCTCCTACCTACCTACCTACCTACCTACCTACCTACCTACCTACATGTCGAGCGATTCATTTCAAATTTCGCACCAACTCAAGCTTGAGCTGAGGTCACTTTCTGCTGGTGCGGGTCTGGGGACTTGCCTTTGGGCGTCATACCATGTCAGCCGCTAACTTCATCACAACCTGAGAGTCAAAGCTGAATTCCACCAACCTTGCAGCCATGCCATGAACCACTTCATTGAAGGCTTCGATAGATGGCCTAGCCTGGCCCATGTTTCAAGTTTTCCCGGCCCGATTTGCTCGACAATATCACTCTCAATCCCAGAACCTTCAACCCGAAACCGAGACAGATAGACTGAACCGTCTTGGGGTCAAACCCCAAACTCAAACCTCTACGGCCCAGTGGCACCGAGGGCCGCCGGCTTCGACGGAGGCCTGCCTTCGCCTGGGACTCTGCGAGCTTCAAGGTCTCCTGGGACTGGGCGAGGGTTCCTTCTTCGTTTAGGGCTCTTTTTCGTCTGAACGTGCGGATGGCCTCGGGCTTAGGGTTAAGGGCTCTGTTGCCCGGCCGTTTTGGACTTTGGACTTGTTGAGTGGTTTCTTCCCCTCCCACTTAGCAAGGACGAGCCCGCATTGCAGGGTGGTGTTCAGAACACACTTGTTGAGTGGTTTAGCTTTTCGGGCTCTGGATTTCCGCTGGAAGAGGTCCTCCGTCAGAAGCCTCCATCGTGATTTGCTACCTCGACCGACTGGGAAAGCATCACTTCATGCAAGCTCCGTCAATCGATGTTACGTTTCATTAACCGGTGTGGCCCGTCCTCACCATGGACATGTGACGGTAAACGGGGCCTGGTTCGAGGGTTTTGCCGCACATGCCAAGTGAGGAGCGGAAAAAACGCGAAACGGCATGCTTGTCGACCACCAACACTTTGCAAGGCAGTGCACAAAGGGAGGCTTTTTCAAAATGCACCTAAACCCGATTACGAGAAGGACACATCTGCGCAGGTCCGCCCTCCTGAAGCTTCGACTTTGCCTCGGCCATTTGGTGCAGCTCCTGCTTGCGTTCGGGCGACGCCACGCTCAGGGGTCGCTGTCATTTCGGCATTGGGGTTTCGTGCTTTCGGGGCCAGCATCCTCCATCCAAAAAAGGCTCTAAGCCCTAAATTGTCAGGGGCTTGGTTTCTTGGAGTGCTGGAAACCTCGGACTCAGCCAGGAGGAGAACATCGACAGAAACGAGAGATCTGGGGGTGAGCCCGAAAAGGTTCCGAGCCCATACACGCCGCCAAAGATGAAAACCCGAAACCCACGCGTAGGCCTTCAAAGCAGTGAATGGCATGGCTCGCTTTAGGCTTCAAGTTCAAGGTTACAAGGGTCGCTGCTGCGGGCTCCTGAAACAACAGGTCGAATACCATAACAAGAGCATAATTGGAGCCTCAAGGTGTACAATGCTTCTCCGTTGCGGGAATACCTACCCCAACAGGTCCGCAAACCCTCACTCCGAGCCCAGTCCTTGCCATCGGGCGAGGCCTTGAGGGGGTCCGCCTTGCAGTCCAAAAGCAAACCTGGCTGCTGCTTGAGGTTGTGTTTGACGAGCTCCATTCCTGTCTTGAAGGCAGCTTCTCAACATTTAGCCGTCAACCAGCACTTGAGCATGTGGTTACTAGGGCATGGGGATGGGCGCTCTGTTGCTAAGGACTCTCACAAACTCGCACAGAGGCAGGCATGGCAGGTGAATTTACTGTTTGGGGAGTGGTGCTTCGAGAGGGGGCTTCACGCCCGGACACCACTGCAGGCGAAGCGGGTTGGATCAGGCCTGCTGCGAGGAAGTGGTGATGGCTTGTTCATTGAAGGCCTATGGCTCGCGGCGTAACTTATAGTAAGCCCCAAAAAGTTGGAAACCGGATTAAGGACAAATAGTGCTGGGATTCCCTATATATGACTCTTAAGGATTGAGGCTATTGGGTTTCCAACTTTTGGGCTTCTACTGTAAGAGGTCTCCAGTGCGCAGGCTCTACCAGTAAATACATCATGGGGGTTGCCTTTGGCGCTCAGGCAAAAGGCGGCCGAGAAGCCGCACATGGCCGCCTGGTCGGTGCGTGCAGCGAGCTGAAGAGGCGTGAACTGTCCAGGAGGCGCGAAGTTGGGATCTGCTTTCCCGTCGAGCAGGGTGCCCGTGACTGTGATCTGTGAGCCTGTCGGTTTTCCCAGGGCAATGCAATCCCTGCCCCAACCTTGGGATCTAAAACGGTACCCCATTCGAGAGAAAGATTTCAGCCGTACAGAAAAAGGCCTTCGATGCTGACAAGCAGGGGAGTCTGCTGTTCGACCACGGCGTTGACGTCTGCTTTGACCTTGAGCAGGAATTGCACGGCAACTTCGTTCCCCTCCCTGGCGGCCACATGCAGTGGCGCGCCACTTTTGCTCGGGGCATCCAGCTCGCATCGGGCGGCCACGAGAACTTTCAGGGCCGCCATAGATTCTGTCTGGGCGGCCACATGCAGAGGGCGGAAGCCTTTGCTGGTCGTACTCTCTTTGAAGTCGCTGTGCTCTGATAAGATCTTCCTCAAGGTCTTCTCGTCGTTAAGCATCACTGCTGCAGCAATGGCTCCTGGAGAAGTTCGGAGTGGGCATGTAAGGGCCTAAGGCCTAAGGATGCATTTTCTGAAAATTTGTCGCTCCTGGGACGAATCTCCGCTGGATTTTGAGATCCACGTCGGAGTATCCCTTGCACTCGGCGGGGGGCTTCACCTGTCGGCTTAAGCTGAAGCGAAGGGACGGCTTGAGCTCTTGAACGAAAGCACAGAAGCCTTGTCCCACCGGTCTGAGGGTGTGCTGGCCAGGAAGTGAAGTATTCTCTTCCTCGGCGATCGAGCATGCTCTGTACACTCCAGACTTGGGCCAAGCCTGCTCATATGCAAAGTCTGCCAGGTTGTGTGTGAGGACAAGAACATGCTCGGCTACCTACCGACCAAACTACATACATACACCAGAAATACACCAGACAAGGCCAGACTAGACAGACATGCACATCCATGAATGACTTGGCGTACCGTCGACGCAGCCGAAGACCCTGCTCAGGGCTAGCACTGTCACTAGTCCCACATGAGACTGCGCCCGCCAGCTCAGATCCTGGAGCAAAACAAGTTTTCCACATGCACCTGGCATCTCGACAAAGAAACTTCCGAAAGTTTGAGGGCACCTAGATCCAAGGGCTAGTGAACTTCAAAGTCGGAGCCATGAAGGCCTTGGCCTTGGCCGTGAACACCCCAAACTGCAGCCCTGTAGCCGAAAACCAACTCCCTGAAAACCTGAAGCCGCAGAAGCCTTAAGCTAGAAGACTCCTAAGAGACCCTGCTGACAAGCGCATGCCAGGCTTCTTGTTCTCCTCCAGGCCTGTCTCGGATCTGTTGACGGCCACCTGCAGCCAATAAATCTTGGGGCGTTACATTCCTGGTGTCGCACTTGTGGCCGGGCCAACCTTGGGAATTCCGTTTGGGTTTCGGGTCGAATTCGGGCGACTAACCCCTCAACCCTCAACCAACATTGTGCTTTGGGCTTCCGTCTTCAAGGCCTGAGGACGGGCGGAACAAGCACAGTCAATGGCCAGAACATTCATCACACCGCTGTACTTCCAAGACACTTCCAGCTTACAGCCAACACCCCAAACCTACGGCCCGCTCCACCAAGTCACGTCGAGCTGATGTTCGGAGCTTAGAAACTCGAAAATGGCTTGTTTCACCTGACCTGGCTGGCATACCAAAGGCGACTGCCTGAATGCTACTCCCTGAACCCTTGTTGTGGGATTGAACATCATTCCCACCTTGTAGCCCTTGATGTAAAGGTCCAGGGGAAAAACCGTGGTGCTCCGACTGTCTTCAAAGAAGGAGCCTCGGTCCTGCTCTCTCGCGAGAGCGTTGGCTTCCTTTTTTGCCTCAGGCCTTATGGATTGTGCCTGCGAGGGTTTGGGGTTCGGGATTTTATGGGGGTTTTGGGTTTCAGGTTCGGTTTCGGGGTGTAGGGGTGTCTTCAATTGCTATGACGTCCTCACGGGGCTAACCTGGACCCGATGTCCTCCAAAACAGCGACTTTCTGCTCCTCCGCGCACCATGCTGCTACGTCGAAGGCATGAGAGGCACCCTTGTCCTCAAGAGCGGGGATCATGCAGAGCATGGTGATGACAATAGCATTGGCTCCGACGACAACTGCTGCCACAACCGCCACTACCACCATCGAAGACGGTGAACGAACACTTATGATCACGGCACCCTTCCCACTCCCTGCCACAACGAAGTACGAGTACGTGCAACACAGAGCAGTGGCGGAGTCGTCCTTCGGAAGGTCCAGGGTCAGGGTGATCTCCAGCAGGCACCACGTTCGCTCTAAGGCCATCCCGGCACTGTCAAGGAGCAACAAGGTGCCCACGCAGCGAGGGTTCAGGAGCACCTTGCAAAATGGCGCCTGCTCCAGATCCCTCGGGGCTGGGAACACCTGAGTGGCTATGTGTTTTTAAGCAGCGTTAGTTCGTCTTCCTGCTGGTGAGTGATATATTGTGACAATAGCAAGGTCCTTGAAAACTCAAAGACGTCCAAGAACATCCGGGTCGCTTGGCTGTCGTGGAGCGGTTTGGCGAAGGCATCGATCCAAAGGGGGCTCTGCTTCTTGATTTTCCTCTGGGCCGCATGTTGCTTCAGCATCTCCTGCGGAGTGAGGTTTGCGGCCTGAGGGCTTGAGATTTTTGGGTTGAGAGGTTTAGGGTACCATCAGTACAAACCTTTAAACAAATTTGCAATGAGGCCCCGTGAGGACATCCTTCCTGCAAAAGACGGACGAGTGTTCAAAACCTAGACTCTAAACTTCGAATCTCTACACCCCAACGCAGCGATCTCCGTGCAGGACACCTGAAACTTGAAGCCGGATTTCGGGGCAACCCCAAATGCAGCGGCTTCCCCCTCAACAGCTCCTGAGTCTGTATCAAAGGAGTGCCCCAAAAATGGGAGATGAACCATTCGGGCTCCTGGGATTCAACGGAGGATCATGCCGAGAAGTGTCTAGGGTCTTGATTCGAGTGAGACTTCAGAGAAGAAATCGTAAAGTCCAAGTCGTTTGGGCTCCGATCTCAGGGAGGAAGAAGGCTTGAAGTCGAAGGCGGTTTGTACCAGTCTGGCGGCGTTTCAGGAGTTGTGAAAGCAGAGGCTGTGCCGCCGCTGGTTCCCTGTTCGGGCTAGTTCGGGCTATATTCAAAAATTATCATGCTTAATCCTTATTGGGTTTCATTACAAGAAAAATGTAAAATTGTATCCAACTAGGACCCAGGCGGTGTTGGGAGTTAAAATGCCTGGTGAGCGACCTGTCTTGAAGAACTGGTCCAAGGCTCGTTCGGATTCCGATTCACAAGCTCCCCGAAGGAGCATCGAAATCTCGCGGTCATGGGCTTCAAGAACCTCGGTTGGGGGTCGGATCTTGATTCTGCAGAAGTTCTAGATGAAATAGATCTGTGTGAGTTCCCGAAAATTCAAAGAGCGTCGTTTGTCCCCGGATCGGTTTGCTGCTGCAGGCTGATCAGAAAGCGGCCGGAGCCTTTCGTCGGGCTACAGCACACTGACCAAGGAGCTTTGCAGCAAGGCAGTACATATTGAAAGTCGGGAGTGTGACGGTCTCGGCCCCGTTCGAGATGGTGCACTTCTCGAAAACCTTCGAGCTGGCCGTTGTTTGAAGTAAAGCCCGGGCAAGGGCAAAAGCCAAGACACAGGCGAAGAAGACTGGAAGTAGCAAACCGGAATCTTGTTGGAAGGGCCTGTGTTTTCCATGTTGTTGCTGAACTAACGGATGGTCCCCTTGGGGGGCAATCCATTATCATCAGCAGCCTTGCCCTGCATGCCCTAAACGGGAAATGGAATCCCCGAAGCCGGCAGCCGGCTTGCTCAAGGCTTCAGGAGTTTCGGGGCGGTTGAAGGGTTCCGGGTTCAATCCCCGCTTTTGACAGCGGTTCTCCGCTTCAGGTTCGAGGAGGGCATGAAGGGTGTAAGGGGACTTTGAGCGTTTCATTGAATTTCATGGGTTCAGATCGCCGAGCAATTTCGGTTTGTCGAAGGTGTTCAATGCTTCGGGTTTAGGTCGAGAGCTTCAAGCCCTGGGGTCAGGGTAGAGAAGGGTCGTCACGATCAAACGGAGGCCGCCGCGGGAGATTGCTCTGCCTTCTTGGGATGCGCCGTCTACGGCGATTCCTCCTTGCGCATCCGTCTACCGGTTTTGATAACACCTCGGCCATAGCCGAAGATACCAAACATCCCGATGTGCTCCTCCAAGTTTCAAAGCCCTATGCATGTAGTTTGTACCTGAAGACATCCGGCTGGCAAGGATCCGAGCTACCCAATTCCCCTACGGGTGTGATTAGGGTAATGGTTTTTCCGGGCGCCTCGGTTCAACACATGGAACGGCGGTATCAAGCACTTGCGCCGGATTTATCGAGAACTTGTCAGGATCATCAGGCGCAAGGTGAGGGGCTTATCAGGAACCTGCAAGGATTTGTCAGACACATGCAACGGATTCCCTAAGCCCCTGACCTAAACAAAACCTGCACATGTGAATAATAATTCCCGCATGCTATTGATGATGCACGCGCATCTAAATCGGGCGCTTGTCTCTGATAAACCGGCTCTTATTCCCAAGCCATGGCACAACGAAAACTCATGGATTGTACGAAAAAGACAGCTACCGGTGTGATTATCGTGGTGAGGCCGAAGCCCAAAACCCTAAACCCAACAGGCTCCGAGGGCCCCGCTTCAACAACCAAAGCCATCAAGTCGTCGAGCTGAGCGCGCGAGACGCCACGAAGCTCTGCAGGAATGATGGTCTGCTGCAGGTATGCCTCCCGCTGGATTAAGGGCCAAGGATTCAGAGGCATGGTCAGGTGGCGGTATGTCTGCTACGACTCCGCCTCCCGAAATCCGAATCCGCAAACAAGCCTAACGACCAAAAAACCGAGCTCCCAACTCAAAGCCCAAAGCCCAACCATCCAACCTAAAGTTCTAGCCAAGCCGAAACACGCATCATCGAAACCCTCTACGAGACTCTGAAAACCCCAAAGCCTCAGAAGGACAAAGCCCCATCACCCCATGGGTCTACCGTCGAAAAGACCTGAAGCACACGTTAACATCACGATCAATGAATCAGCAAACCCACCTTCGCAAAACCGCCAAGCTCCAAAGAAAACCCGAAGAAAGCAAGAACCATCTACATGCAGTCGTCTGCCTCATCCGAAAGAAGAATCCCAACTCTCAAAAATCTCGCAGACCTGACCTCGGGCACTGGCACGGTCTCGCTCCAAGCGGGTAATTCCGGCTCCGGCCCCGGCTCCTCTCGTCTGGGGGGGGGGGCCCTTGACAAAGGGGGTTTAGGGCCTAATTAGGGTCTATGAGAGCGATCAGACTGACGTCACTCCGGGCTCTGGGAGGGATTCGTGCATCTGCGTGGGCGCATCTGGGCATGCATACATCTATGGATGTGCGTACGTGCGTATGTAGGTATCAATGCATGGGCATGGATGTGTGTATGTGCGCACATACGTATGGACGACTGCATGTATGTATGTACGTATGTGTGTATCCATCTGTCGGTCGGTCCTTCGGCCGGCCGGTCGGTCGGTCGGCCTGTCTGTCTGTCTTTCTCTGAACCTCTCTGTCTGTCTGTGTGTCTGTCTCTCTGTCTCTGTCTGTCTATCTGTCTGTCTGTCTCTGTCTCTGTCTCTCTGTCTCTCTGTCTTTCGGTCTGTCTGTCTGTCTGTCTGTCTTTCGGTCTGTCTGTCTGTCTGTCTCTCTCTGTCTGTCTGTCTGTCTGTCTGTCTGCCTGCCTGTCTGTCTGTCTGTCTGTCTCTGTCAGTCTCTGTCTGTCTCTGTCTGTCTCTGCCTGTCTCTGTTCGTCTCTATCCGTCTCTGTCCGTCTGTCCGTCTGTCCGTCTGTCTGTCTGTCTGTCTGTCTCTCTCTGTCTGTCTCTCTGTGTCTGTCTGTCTCTCTGTCTGTCTGTACGTCTGCCTGTCTGTATGTATGTGTGCATGTTGTATGTATGTATGTATGCATGTATGTATGTATGTACGTATGTATGTATGCATGCATGTGTATGTGTATGTGTATGTGTACGAAGTATGTATGTACGCATTTGTGTTTGTGTGCATCTACACTGTACGGATGAATGAATGAATGTATGAATGAATGTATGTATGTATGTATGTGGGTAGGCAGGTGGGCAGGTAGGCAGGCAGGTGGGCAGGAGGCAGGCATGCAGGTAGGCAGGCCAGGGAGCCAGGGAGCCAAGGAGGCAGGGAGGTAGGTAGATAGGTAGGTAGGCAGGTAGGCAGGTAGGTCGGTAGGAGGGTGGGTAGCTCGGCAGATATTATGTAGAGCCCCTTGTATGTGTACATCAACATTTATCAAAACTTACTTACTTATCTACAGATCTATCTACCTATCAATCTCTACCTAGATCTATCTATCTTTATTTATCACTATCTATCTCTGCCTGTCTATCTGGCTCAACATACATACATTCTACAAACAAACGTACATACCTTCGTACACAGGTTTACACGTACATACATGCATACATACTTACGTACTCACTACATGCTGACCTAATGACGTGTGCTTGCATGCATGCCTGCGTATCTACATACCCCAAACCCTACATATCTACATACCTACATGCCTACATACCTAACTTCATAGATATCTACAAACCTTCGTGCCTACATGCATACATGAATGCATGCATGTATGTTCCAGAAAAGGGCTTATCTTGACATGATAAAAAGCAGCTAGGCCTTGCTGTTGGGCTACCATATCATTCGACGACCCTGACCATGCAATAGATAACCAAACAGGGTGACCAAATTAAGACGGACAGGGCGATGGAAAGCAGCAAGCAGATAGACCAGATTTCGGGGTGATTTTCGCAGACGTGGTGGCCACCTCCTAGTGATCGCCTCAATGAGTCATGAGGGGTGCTTCCAGCTGCGAGCCTGAAGAAGGGTCTACGATTTGGGGTGTCGGACTAAGGCTAGCTGCTTTGATGGGACTTTGGCGGGTGGAGACAATCCTTCCCGAAAATCTGACAAAGAGCACTTCACACGACAGGTATTGCAAAAGGGGCGGCGTCGGTGTTGGTGCCCGAAGGCTCCACGCCAAACCCAAATCAGACTGCTAACGCAGGAAGCTTTCACCAGCACCTCTGGCTGCAAAACGCCGCACTGTTGAAAGCGGCGAGTAAGTCTAACCGCATATCATGCACAGAAGCGATCGCTGTAACAAACAATCATCATGCACGCATATACTTCTGGCAGAGTAGCCGTGACAATCATCGTGCGTCCGGTTTCTGAGATTTTCTTAGCATAGCCAGAGCCAGCGAATCGGATCGCCTGAACTACACAACGGGAAGCGATAGACAATCCACGCTCGCTGGCATCAAGTACGGTGATCCATGCTATTGTCGGGCAGCTTACGGTGGACTGGATCCCCAAGATTTGGACACTGTTGTAGCCGAGTACGAGAAACGAATGACTAAACACTAGCAAAAATGTTGCAACAACACTGATGGCTGCAGGTAGAATGACTAGTCTGATGAGTCCCTGTACACCGCTTGTATTAGTAGTGAGATAACAATTAAACACAAAAGTGAACATATTCCGCTTAATGATTTCGGCATGCTACGACTGCAATCGCACCAATGAATTGAGCACTAATTACGTTGATCGTGCGGAAGGGAAAACCGAAAACACAGAGAGAATAGCAACACGATGTTTGCCACCAGGTACGAGAACTCTGCCGGCAGCTTAACAGGCAAGTAGTTTTAACGACAACCAAGTCGTCGCCCCGCAATGTTAAGAAAAACCCGAACAGGGGGATGGCGGTACGAAACATCATGACAAGAGCAGGTGGTAGCAGGTTGCAAAAAACACACACCTGTGATCCTTGAGACATGCTACAGCCGCTTCAGGAGATTGTGATGACAGTTGGTGGCGACGAGTGTGATCAGAACCGTATTGCGCAAGTACATGCTGGTGATGATTGCCGTGATGACGAAGACGCAGGAAGCGCAGCACAGTGTTATTAGGGTGGTGTTTATAGCGTCGGATGTTGTTCAGGGGACCTGATTCGAGTCTTCGCTGTGAGCCGAAGGAATTGGCTGCACTGACCAAGCCAAAAACACGTCCGAATGTTAAATCTATCGAAAGCAGCCGCAGTGGCACATGTGACCCTTCAGTGTCAGATGCGTTTACCCAACAATCCAAGCCAGCAACAGGAATGGACCTCATGTCAATCGACATCACAAACTAGCTAGCAAAAACATCAGTCTAGCGGCCACGGCACCATAAGCCTTAAACCCCTGAACTGAAGATAGAAACACTACGTACCTGTAGCCACTGTCTCCTCCTGCTGAAGCAGGCTGCTCAGAGGCAAAGAGACTGCGCCGGTGATGTAGTCCGCAAACTCATCAAAGTCTAATTGGCCATTGCCGTCCTGCACTTGCGGTTCAACGCCTAGGGTGCAGGCTTGTGGGCCATACACATACATGGCAGGCATGCTGCTTCCATGTGGAGCGGTGGTGACGTGGAGTCGTGACTTTCATATCCGCGTAACATGACACGAAGCTTCCCCCTCGACTTTCCTAGATTTCAAGGTTCGAATGAAACTTACAAAGGCTGGATGCACCAAAGCGGAAAGCGGGAATGATGACAGCGACAGTACTCAGTATATAAGGGCAACCGTGACTACATCCGTGATATAAGGAAATCGAAGACGGGGACATATGACCGGTAAAGGATCACAGTGCAGACGAGCACCAGTGCTCCGTGTGTGATGCATACTGCTGTTCATAATACCGGTCCTGATGCAAACACACATATGCTAGGCTAACGTTACATGAAGCCGGGCACAGCAACTGACATTAGTAACCAGGAAAGCAGGTGAACCTCGCGACGACAATGGTACCAATAGTGTACCAATGCACGGAAAGCACGACAACACCCAAGACCACATCCTTGTCCACTGAGTCAAAGAGGAAGTCTAGTTCCTTCTCGTCGATGTCCGGATTCCCCTGGCGCAGGAAGACCCTCACTCGTCAAAGCCTGGGGTTAGTTAACAAGAATCTGCTTAGGATTCTGTTCGAGCTTCTCGGGCTCGGAAAATGCTGCGACAGTCTGTAACTTCGGCAGATGATGTGGGCAGTTGATCCAATAGTCATGCTGCGGGGTGCATGGGCCCAACAACATCCAAAAAGCATTTGGGTGAGGGCAATTGCTCTCGATTTGTAAGCACTGCAAAGGAAAGGTCTCCTGTAGTATCACACCCATCTTACTCGAAATCAACGGCCTTCTGGAGCAGTGCCGTCAGCTCTGATCGGCTCAACTTGCCGTCGCTGTTTTCGTCTACTTTGCGAAACTCCTCGAAGCTTTCTGCATGCATGTGCTATACTTCCTTTGCATATGCAGCCGGCTGTGTTAAGGTTTGCTGGCCTGGTGCAGATAAAGGATGAAAAAAGGGCCTTCCCTCCACGCGCTCTTCAACCTACATCACTTCATAGCTGCCCCGTGGCGTTTTGATGTCTTATCTGCATAAATGAACGAATGCCAAAACAAAAACGTGCTTATGTATATGTCTCTAACATGTCTCCATGTCTGTATATAATACTCTGTATATACACACACACATATATATATATACATGTATAGCACAACCGAATGGGATCACCGTGCCGTTCAGAACATACATACATACATACATA